ATAGCTTATGAGGCAATTGACCTGTAATCATTTGCATTTCAACATATGTGGCTTGAAAAACAGAACAGTAAGTTACCCTACATACTCTTTTGTTGAATTCCACAGGAAGTTACTCAGTATGGTTTGTGTGTATGTGTGTGTGTGATACAAGAGTGCCCTAAAGAAATAGATTATACCATAAGGAAATGCTCACAAAGCAAATGGAAAGAAATAACTCTCAAGAGTGAAGTATTTGAATTACGATATGCATGCAGGAATATTCCCTTTCTGAAACTGATAACAATAATACCATGTTTTAAATACTTTATTTATTTAATTTTAGGCAGAGGGGAAGGGAAGAAGAAAGAGGAGATAAACATCAGTGTGTGGTTGCTTCACTCGCTCCACACTAGGGACCTGGCCTGCAACCCAGGTATGTGCTCTAGACTGGCAGTTGAACCTGCAACCTTTTGGTTCACAGGCCAGTATTTAAACCACTGAGCCATACCAGCCAGGGAAACAATAGCTCCATTTATTGAGTGCTTTCTAGGTGGCAGGCACTGTGCTTAATGCTTTACAGACATTATCTACATTTAACCCTCCCAACAATTGTATAAGGTGGTTATTATTATCCTTGTTTTCAGATAAGGGAAACAAATCTTATTCTGCAAATATTTGTTGAGCAACTACTCTGTGCCAGAACCTGTTCTAGGCCTTTAAGTTGAGGTTTGGAGATGTGAAGGAACCTGGAGTTTGGACATAGGCCTGTCTCTGCTTTTATCATGACCCCATACTGCCTAACTGGGAAGAATGTCAAAGTAAACATTTCAAGTAATCATATCACAGAATGTCTCCCCCATAGTTCCTTACAGATTTTATTAGTATCTTTCATCATGTGCAACTCTAGAATCATGAAAATTTACGGAGGGGTACCTAGAGAAGATCATTCAGTTTGTATACTCTCAAATAGATGTAGAGATTCCTGTTGTCTCTTGAGATGTGTGCCAATCAGGAAACTATTCTTAATTTTTATTTGGGAAATTTCTAAGAAAACCCTAAGTTCATACACGTGAAAGACATGTCACCATGTATTCTGTTTCACTATTGTCTTAACATGAGATAAAGTTTGAGTCTAAGCCTTTATCTTTTTTTTTCTCTGGAAAGAAAGTTAACTACAAGATTTCTGGAGTGAAGATTTCTCCCAAAATACTGCACTTAAGATGCACTTCAATCTATTGATGTCAAAACGGTAGTTTCCAGTGATTACTTTTTCTTTCTGTGTGAAAAATAAATATGCACTCATGGACATGGACAATGTGGTGGCGATTGCTAGGGAGAGGAGGGTATACAAGGATTAAATGGTAATAGAAAAATTAAAGAAAGATTAAATAAAACAATAAATATGCTTCAAATAGTGTACAGGGAAAAACCTTTTTCAGAGAGGTGATGATTACACTTTATGAGTTTTCTATAGTAGTGAGAAACTCATGTAAAAGAGCTGTGAATTCTGGATGTATGTGATGTAGAGATTGTGCCATGAGCCATAGTTAGTCATCTTGGAACTTTTCCAGACTGATGTAACTCCATTTTTTGGAACAAATGTTATTTTGTTAAGTAAATGCCCATTTAAACTTGTATATGAAGATTATAATTATAGCAGGAAATTGTTGGAGATGGAGGAGGTTAAATGTGGTTGTCCTATCATATATCAGGAATGAGTTCATGGAAATCTAGCCCATATTCTTGACTGAGGTTTGCTGTTTACCTTTGCTGTAGTTTCAAGCAATAACTTTCCAATATTTTGGTTCTGAGAAGTTTATCTGTATGTGTATGTGTGTGGGCTGGTGGTGGCGGCATAAAATCAGTAGGTAACTGAATCAGCCCTTTCCACTGGTCTCGCACAGAGAAGTCCAAAAGACAGTGTGATGTGAGGATATCACATTATATGGCTTGTAGGAATACATAAAAGGCTCAGTGTTAAAGAGAAGTTCTAAAACAGTACTGTCCTATAGAACTATAATGCCAGTCTTGACAAATAAGCTACATATGTAAAGATATATCTTAATAGTAGCTACATAAAAAGTAAAAAGAAACAAGTGAAATTAATTTTATCAAAATATTTTATTTAACTCAATGTATTCAAACTATCACTTTACCATGTAGCCAATATAAAAAGTATTAATGAGATATTTTACATCCTTTTTTTGTACTAAGTCTTTGAAATCTGGCACGAACACTACACTTGCAGTCCATCCAAACTGCAACCAGATAACCTTATTTTAAGTGCTCAAGAGCCATATTAGCCTGCAAAGGGTGATCTCTAGAGGCAGCTATTCTTTAAATAACCACACTTGGAGTTTTTCTTTCTCAAACAGGAAAAAAGAAAGTAATCCTGCTCAGAACAATATCAGCTTCTATGTTCAAATAATTCCTTTCGTTGCCACCTACAAGAAAAATCTCCCAGCCTCATTTGATTTCCCCAAATTCTTCCAGCCAGAGAGAGCAGTTGCACCCACTCTTGCTTTTAATGAAAGAAACAGCCCTAGCCTTGTAGTTCAGTTTGTTAGAGTGTTGTCCCAATACACCTAGGTAGCAGGTTCAATTCCCAGTCAGGGTACGTACAAGAATCAATCAATGAAATAAGTGGAACAACAAATCGATGTTTCACTCTCCCCTTAAAAATTCATGAATTTAAAAAAACTTTTAAAAAGTTTACTGTTAACCAAAAGAAAAAATTTGCTGTGTTTACTTAGGGGCAAAAGGAAAAATAACAGTGTTTTTGTAAATTCACACATATTACCAAGTTGATTCTACACGTAAGACAGCTAGCTGTTCAAGTGGTACTTCAGCCCATTATTAACAGTTCATTTAATGCTTAATTCCCGAAATGTGAACACTGTGCACATTACTTTTGCAGATCAGTTAACTTTAAAAGTTATTCTTCTAATTCTCAAGGTAAAAAGAAATGAGTAGAAACTGACACTGAAATCAACTTTTCAGTATACAAACAATTAGATTTATTTCTAGATTAGTTCATTCTTCGAATGGAGTAATTAGCATTGAACAGTACTGAACACACAATAATTGTCGGAACTACGTATGTTTTTATTAAAGCAAGAATGTTAATTGATCACTGTTTGAGTGGCTAATTTACCTTTCACCAAATCGACCAACTTCTTTTTGCTATAAGGAATGGTAATTTGGCTTTGCAATGTAAATGAAAGATAAATTAGGTACTTTGTACACAAACGTAAAACGATACACAACTCATCTTCAAACTTCTGCAAGCTGGTTTTACGTCAGGAATTACAGAGACTGTGCTGAGTTGGGGTCCAGATTGGAGTTGCAACACTTGAATCAATTACGTTGGGGGGAAGTGACAAATTCACGACTTAAATCCTCCCCACCCCCTGGACCACGCTGAGACTGCCCAGATGTTGTTCCTAGGCTGCGGGAGAGGGAATGCAGAGAGGATTTCCGGCCCCCTCCTGGGGCTCCCTAAACAGATGGAACCTCCTCAGGTGGCCTGTGCCAAGGGGCGCGCCAGAGAAGGCCACAGAAAGAGCCCAGAGCCGAACTCTCTCGGGCCCAGCGAGAAGCTTTGCACCACCCGCCGACTAATTGTAGGGCTCTAATCTCATCCTCACACCTGCATTCGGAAGGAAGGGGAGGGCTCTTTAGGTGTCTGGGTCCCAGGATGAAAGAGAGCTGTTAAAAGGCTTGCGCTGAGAGCGCAGCGGGAGACGCACTTAGTTGCTGGACGTGGGAGGCCCAGGATGCCTAGGCCGAGGCCTGAGGGAATGGGGCCACCGGCCAGCCGGGAGAGTTCTCTTTACTTTTTTCTCTTCTCTTTGTAAAACGATTAGCCAATGGTTGCCCTAGCTTTTCAATCGGCCGGGCGACTTTTACACATTTCTGCCTGGGCGTAGTGAGCTGGCCGGGGCACCTGGCACGGGGCACTTGGGTCGCAACCCCTGTCCCCCGGGACCCACTCCAGATGTCCAGGCCTCTTCCTACAGTATCTCCTCCTCGTCTTGGGCGCCTCCACAGTCTGGAGATTGGGTTTCCATAACCCAGGGCTTCCCTATCTTGGGAAGGAGGAGTTAGAACTCCTCCCTCTCTCCCCCTCCTCCACCCACGGCCTGCCTGATTTTTTTATCTAATCTTTTATTTAAAGTCAACAGAGTAGCGGCAACTCCGGGCTCCTGCCAACAAGATATTTTAGAATAATTCCCCAACCTCTGCCGACAGTCGCCGGCAGCCTTTAAGGAACCTCCTTGTTTTCTCCTTCGTGAAGATACAAGCAGCAAGGAGTGGGGGGGGGGGGTTAAGGGCTCTGCGGACTTGGAGGGGGCGACTCATTTAAGACGAACGAATTCCAAATATTAAAAATATAACAGAAGAGCGTTAATTTGGAAAGACTTGAATCAAACCGAGAGCCAAACCCTTAGGGGGCTCCCGGGCACGAAGCCTTCAGTGTACCCGTCGTGGGAGGAGGTGTGGGGGGGGGTGGGCAGGTGAATGCCCAGCGAGTGATTCTAGAGAGGTCGGGTCCTGGCCATAACGGGATGTGCCCATAAACTCGGCATGCCCACACGCACCCACGGAGTAGTTAGGCCGAAGAGACACCGCACGTCCTTTGCCGGGTCCTTGACACCAGACTGCACCCCCTGAGCCTCGCCCATCTATCTCCCTCTCCAGCGGGGTGAGGACCACTGTTCTCTATATCCTTAAGGAGCCTCCGACCTGCTCGGACCCAAGGCAGTTAAAGGCTCACAGCCTTTCACCCCTCCTGCCTCTCCCCCTTTTCTTTGCCCCCGCCACTTGCCGACGCCCCCAGATTCTGGGGCTCGCCCTTCCTGAAAGTAGGCGAGGCCCAGAAGCTGAGACTGGGGCGAGGAAGGCTGGTGGAGCAAAGCCTGGCGGTGGGGGCGTGTCTCCCTAAGCCCCGCCCCGAGTGCGCGCGCGGTGGCGGCGGCGGCAGAACTCTGCTCTGAGAGACAGGTACCGCTTAGGCGCCATGTTGTGAGCGGAAGTCGGGGAGCGCGCGGCTGCTGCTGGCTGCTGTTCTGCTGGGAGCGGGCGCGGGAACCGGCGGCGGGGGGCGGAGCTGTAGTCCCCGCGGCGGAAGGAGGAGAGGAAGAAAGGGGCGAGACCCGGTGCCGGGCAGCGGCGCGAGGCTCTCGCTTGGCGCGCGGGCGTCTCCAACTGGGCGCGCGTTGTTCGAGGGTCGGTGTCTACGCCGAGCCCTCTCCCGGGCAGTCGCTGCTGCTGCTGCTATTGCTGCTGCTGCTGCCACCGCCGCTGCGGTGGGGCTCGGGCGGCGACTGAGTGGGGCCGGCCGCGGGGCGGGCGGGGAGGGAGGAGGCGGTGAAAGCGGCGGGCCGGGGGGGAAGATGCCGCTGGCGCAGCTGGCGGACCCGTGGCAGAAGATGGCTGTGGAGAGCCCGTCGGACAGCGCAGAGGTGAGTGCACCCAGGCGGCCGGGGCCGGCGCGCCCCCTCCCCTCTACCCCGCCGGCTGACTCTACTCCCCAGAGCTGGCCACTCGATCCCTTCTTCTGCCACTCGCGTGCATCCTCACTCTGGGATTCCGGTTCGGGTAGTTGGGATTGGTCTGTTTGCCCTTCTATTCCACTCACCATACCTCCCCTCCCTCGCTTGGGGGGCTGTGGTGTGGTGGCGCGTGGGGTATGTCCTGGGTGCTGGGGCTCTTTGCAAGGAGCCGATTTAATCAACTTTGCGTGGGGGAAGCGGGAGGCGGAGCGGGGTTTTGCGAGGAGTTGAGAAGTTTGGCCCTGAGGTTGGGGTCTTCCATGGACCCTGGTGGTTTTGGGAGATGAGTGAGAGATATGGGTTGGAGTCACTGGGGAGCAGAGACTCGAGTCCCGCCCGAGAACGGGGTTGCTGCGGGGAGACGAGCGCGCGGGGGCAGGAACCGCCCAGGGCAGAGTTGGCGACCTGTGGGGGTTTCGGGTAAGAGGTGCAGGACAGCCCAAGGTTTTTGCCTCCCCCCATCTGCTGCAGCGGTTTCTGCTGCTGCAAAGGGGAAAGTGGAAACCTGAGGTCCTCACCGCCCCCTCCCCCGTTTCTGAGGTCGCTGAGCTCGAGGACCCCGTTCCTGCGAGTTTAACTTGTGTTTCCTGACGGTGGAGGTGAGAGGGTGATATTCAAGGAGATCAGCAGCCGCCTTAAAAGGCTTTCTGGTTTTCCTCGCCCGAGATCTGGTGACCGTCCCTGAGACACCCTCCGGAATACCAAAAACCCAAAGATACCCAAACAGGACAAAATAGAATTTCCCCGGACACACCAGAGCACCGAACGTTTCGCCGCCACCACCGTCCCAGAACCAACTCGGGGTCTGCGAAAATAACCCAGGCAAGACCCATTCCAGGGCATCCGCGCTCCTCTCCGGAGTGCAAAATGAGTTCCTGATGGTGGCGCGTCTGTGATTCTTCCTTTTTGACTTTTTGCTGTCTTCTATCCCCGCAGCGGACTTTGGGGGATTACAGGATGATAGGCTGCGTGTGTGTAATAGTTACTGTGTGACCCCATTTCTGGAAAGCATGACTGAAACGCGGGGGTGGAATGGGGCAGGCTCTGATGAGTGGTGTACTTGGCGGCAGCCGCTGCCCTGCCGGCCTCCGCAGTGTGAGCGGTGGATAGGGTTACTGGTTACGTCAGTTAAGACCCAAGCTCAGTTTGATCTGAGATGCGGGACAAAATGTTCAGGGGAACGATGGTGGGGAAGGAGAGAGGGATCAGTTCATATCGCTTTTCAATTTTTTCCTGATCACTTCCACTGCTGTATGAAATGTTTACTTGCTCTGTTCAACGCAAGTAGAGTTGTAATAGTGCTTAGGATTGGTACTTGGTATATATTGCGACTTGGATCGCATTTTAAAACCCTAAACTAAATGCTGTTCTTTAATAGGAAAAAGACGTTGATATGTGTTACCTAATTTTTCTAAAAAAGGAATTCATGCTTTTAAGACTGGCATAATTATGAGAATTTCATTTAAAATTATGTTAGCCAGACTAATACTCTAAATCTTTTATAAGAAAATCAAATTTAGAATGTTAAATTATTCTTTGATTGGATAGTGTGAAAAATAGTATTCTGGGGCTCTTTTAGCCTTTTTTCCCTCAGAAATTTTTTTCTTTAAATAATATATCTAAAAGGTTAATATGTTCTCAAAGTGCTGACCCCGTGGAGAAAATTTTAATTTGCTTTCAGCCTGATTTTTAGATGCAAATGTTAACATTTGCAACTCATAATCAGTCCACATTTCTGCTTGGCACGTATCAATGTGTAAAAAAAACATTTAAAATTCCACCTTATTCTTTTTCTATATATCATACATTTGGACAAGGAAGGCACAAAACTGATATTTCTTTAGGACTCACTATATGCCAGACACTATGTTACATGCTATTTCATTTTATCCTTCCTATAACCCAAGAAAGTAGGATTATGGACCCCAGATTAAGAAATAATCTCAGAAGGTCGCAAATATTATAAATAGTAAATGGCAGAGCTATAATTCAAAGCCAGGTGGATATAATTCATGTGCTTTGCTTTATATTAGAGTAGCTGCTTCAAATCCTTTGTGGAAAAATTCATGGTATAAATAAATAAGCCAGTAGTTGGAGGTCATGTATTTTTCAGAAACAATTACAGTACCTATTATAAGTCTCATTTGTTAAAGCCTAGTTATTTCAGTTACTGTCATGGTTTCCAGAGCCTGGCAGGTAGCATTACACAGTTTGCCATTTTGAAAGAATTTTCTTGATATTCTGGCATAAGTTGTGGCAAACAGAGCCAGCGTTGCCTAGATTTATTAAAAGTAGATTTTAACAAATAGCCTTTAAATATTTAGTTGCCTTTGGTTGTTCGTTTCAAGTAAATTGTTTCTAATAAAAATTTGAAAACATCGAAGCCAGTAAGGAGAAGGTTGAGAATTTTCATTCCAAAGTCTCATATTGGACTTAATATTATGCCTATTATGCCATCTCCACCCCAGCAAATTCTTAATAGAGAATAATTGTATTTTACCAGACTAAAGTTAATTTTTAAAATCATTTACTTGAGTAGATAATCAAAATTTTTCTCTCCAGGCTAAAAGATTTCAGGGTTGTTCTCAACCAACTCTTGAAAACAGAAACTTTTTTTTCTCTGCATCCTGAGCATTTAACATAGTGCCTGACATATATATATATGTCAGTAGATGTCCACTGAATGAATTATGAAGGTCAGGAAATTGGTGATTATCAGCCTTATCTCTGTTCTTATTTTAATCTTACATTGAAATAGGAACAACTTTAACACACCTGAGTACCTCACCAAAAGTACAGGCAGTTTCTTGATTCCTTTAGAGGACCTTCCTGCTTCAAAACCTCACATAGGTCTCATGGTACTCAAAACAAAACAAAAACCCTTGTGGTTAAACTCAAAACATGGGTCAGAACATGATAGGCTAGAATAAGGCTGATGTTTAAAGAAGCGAATTTAGGATAATAAAGGAAGTACTATGCTAAGAGTCAAGCGTAAAAACAAAATAGCTTCCTAAATAGTGTAGGTGAATTCGAAAGTCTTTAAGGAGTTAATTACAGATGCTAAGGGTTTTGTTTTTTTTTTTAATATTTGACTGTTTAGGAGATGGATTTTAAAGAATTGTGGCTGTTTTATTCTACAGATTCTTTGCCACTGCTGTCAGGGACAATATTTACTAAATCATAAGCCTGTCCTAAAGTGATACTTCTTTTGGTCAGTTTTAGTAGAGTAAGGATAAATGATAGTAAAGCTAAATATGAACAATTTTCAAGAATGAAATTAATTTTTGCTTTATAGAACTGTTGAATAAAAATAGCCACCTTGAATTCCTTTACATAACAACTATCCATAATGCATTGAAAAAACACTTTCCTTATAAAAATGAGACCCATGTGTTGGAAAACATCTTCAGTGGTCGTGCAGCCATTTTTAACCTCAAGGATTATATTGGCTTCTACAGTATTTCTACTATATCAATATTAGATTTCCTATATTTTATCTCTAGGGGAAAACATTCTATTAAAGTATGATCATTGATTTTGCCAAAAAATGTTTTATTAAGTTTCTTTTCCTTTTCCTGTTTCATTTTTACCACCTTTCAGGTTTTTTTCTTTCCCCCAAGTGAAGATCTGAGGAGAGGACAGGTATTGTTACATGTCAACTGTCGGGTAACTGTGACACATTACTGAACACTTCATTGTTTTCAGTGATTATAATGTAGGATGTCAGTCTTTGTTAAACCAAAATTTAGGAAAGTTTGCTTTATTTTGGCAGCTTGATCTAATACTAATAGGGTTGATCCAAAATGTGAAACTTCTTTGGTACACTTAAATTTTAAGAGAAAGAGATAAACTTATCTATAAGCAAGTATAGGCAGACTTGGCCTTTTCTTTAGTATGCTTCTAGAAATCGTAATAAGTATTATCTATTTTATATAAGAAGAGTGGCATAATTGGGATGTGTACTCTTGACCAAGGGTATGACATTTAGTAAATTATAGAATGACCAAAATTATAGCAGATCGTTTATCAGAAGTCTGAATTGCAGAAAAATTGTTCTAAGGATTTTTTAAAAAATTTATCATCCACTAAAAATCTCATACCATTGTGGTCATTGACAAAATTTGCTCTAAAGTTCCATGTTCAGGGACATGTGATCTGCCAGACTGGGAATGATGGGTAACATCAAGTGGCCCAGTTTACCAGTGCAGACCAGATGCTTTAGACCCAGTGGTTTAGATCACAGTGTATAATAGTGACATCTTGGTGGTCTTTTCTTGGTAATATATGAGTGAGTTAGTGCCTAGGTGTGTATATGCTTTGGTAGATAACAAGTAGTCCCCAATTCACATAATGAAAAGACAAAACAAGGAACTATATTTTAAATCTTGGCATTAGAAGTCCCCTCCCTTTCAGAGTTGATACAGTTTCCTCTATCATTTATCTGGAACACAGTTAGATCTCAGATATTCTGGTTTATCAATTTAATACCAAATAGTATAAAAGCACAGGTAAAACAACTAAAATCTACATTGTTAAGTAAAATGTGTTAACAGAAGTAACACAAATATACTATATACATTTTATAAACAGATTCAGGATAAAATGTATGCATATAGGACATCACTATTATTTAATACATTTGGCTTATTTTAAGCAAATACATTCGTTAATAGCAGTTAAATTATTTCAGTTTTACTTATCTCCTTAAAATTTGGGAGGCATTTTGTGGGATAATTTGGATGTATGGCAAAGAGTTAAAGAACATAGCTGAGGAGTTATAAAGACCTGGGTTTGAGTCCTGGCTCTGCCACTTACTAACTTTGTGATCTTATGCAAGTTTTTTAATGTCTCTATGCTTCAACATCCTAGTCTGTAAACTAGGGATGAAAATAATATCTACCTCATGGAGT